GCCCACTCTCTCCACTTCTCTTCAATCTAGTATTAGAATGCCTAGCTACAGCAATAAGACAAGATGCAGACATAAAGGGAATCCAAATAAGGAAAGAAGAAATAAAACTCTCCCTCTTTGCAGATGACATGATCTTGTATTTAAAGAATCCCATAGACTCCACTCCCAAATTACTCAAGCTGATTCAAAACTTTGGCAAAGTAGCAGGTTATAAAATTAACCCCCAAAAATCAATGGCTTTTCTGTATGCCAACAATGAGAAAAGTGTGGCTGAAATTAGGAAAGCAACTCCATTTGTAATAGCCCCACAAAAAATAAAATACCTAGGAATTAACTTAACTAAAGAAGTGAAGGACCTCTATGATGAAAACGTTAAAATCTTGAAAAAGGAAATCAACACAGAACTTAAAAAATGGCAAAACCTCCCATGCTCCTGGATTGGAAAGATTAACATCGTGAAAATGGCAATACTTCCCAAGGCTATCTACAAATTCAACGCAATACCTATCAAAATTCCACCCTCATTCTTCAAGGAAATAGAAGAGGCAATCCAAAAATTCATATGGAACAATAAAAGACCCCGAATAGCAAAAACGCTCCTCAACGGAAAGAACACGGCTGGAGGAATATCAAAAACAAATTTCAAACTCTACTATAAAGCCATAGTAATCAAAACAGCTTGGTATTGGCATAAGAACAGACCTCAGGACCAATGGAATAGAATTGAAAACCCAGAAATGAACCTACAGACCTATAGCCATCTAATCTTCGATAAGGGAGCTAAAACAATAGAATGGAAGACAGACAGCCTCTTCAGTAAATGGTGCTGGCAAAACTGGTTAACTACATGTAGAAAACTAAAGCTAGATCCTTATATATCACCCTGCACCAGAATCAACTCCAAATGGATCAAAGACCTTGAACTCAAAGCAGACACTCTGAAAACATTACAGGATGGAATAGGAGAAACCCTGGGTCTCCTTGGCTCAGGCCGAAATTTTCTGAATAGAGACCCGGAAACACAACAAATCAAAGAAAGATTGGACAAATGGGATTGTATAAGGTTGCAGAGCTTCTGCAGGGCAAATGACATAGCTAGCAAGATCAATAGAAAGCCCACGGACTGGGAGAAGATCTTTACTAGCCATACAACGGACAAGGGTCTCATATCTAAAATATACTTGGAACTCAAAAAATTAAACCACCCAACAACAAATCCTCAAAGAAACAACTGCCCAATAAGTAAGTGGGCGAAAGACTTAAAGAGAAGCTTCTCTGAAGAAGAAAGAAGGATGGCCAATACACACATGAAGAAATGTTCAACATCCCTAGCCATAAAAGAAATGCAAATCAAAACAACATTGAGATATCACCTCACTCCAGTTAGAACAGCAAAAATCAAGAACTCTAACAACAACAGATGCTGGAGGGGATGTGGACAGAAAGGAACCTTACTTCATTGTTGGTGGGAATGTAAACTTGTTCAACCACTTTGGAAAGCAGTATGGAGGTTCCTCAAAAGACCTCACATAGAACTCCCCTATGACCCAGCAATCCCACTTTTGGGCATTTACCCTAATGTTTACAAAAAAGACCACACTAAAGCTACCAGCACAACTATGTTTATTGCAGCATTATTTACCATAGCTAAGATATGGAACCAACCCAGATGCCCCTCAATAGATGAATGGATCAAGAAAATGTGGTATATATACACAATGGAATTCTATGCCTCCATCAGAAAGAATGACATTGCCCCATTTGTTAGGAAATGGAAAGGCTTGGAAAAAATTATATTAAGTGAAGTAAGCCAGGCCCAAAGAAACATAGGTCCCATGGTTTCCCTTATTTGCAATATCTAGTATAGGTATGAGTCAAGCGGAAAAAGTCAGAGAATGTGATGTTAGGAAAACGAACCCTCAAATATGTATTTTAATGTTTTTGTTTCTTTCATGCATGTGTTTCTAACGCATTTATAAGATTATTTCTTGGTTGCTTTGTATGTCCCTCCCCCACAGTGTAACCCCTGCTTTCACTATATTTGATGTCAGTATAACATGTGGAGGAGATGGGGACAAACAAGTCGTTTAAGGATTCAGGTGGACCTGTTGCAACAATGAGAAGTACAAAATGTCATGTCAAAACCAGCTTTACAATGTCGGAGGGGGGGGGGAGGGGGGGTATGATTGGGTGGGGGGGAGGGGGGAGGCTGGGAAGGGAGGTGAAGGGTAAACAAAGGAGGAGGCTGCAATGCTTGGTAAGAAATGTATGCATTATCCTGACCATGTAATTGTAACCCCTCTGTACAGTATGGTCTCAAATAAAATAAAATAAAATTTAAAAAAAAAGAAAAAAAGATGATGCTAAGCAAAATGAACTCCAAGACATGAGAAGTACTTTTAAGGGACTATCTCTGAAAGAAGTGAGGGTATACTTCAGACTCAGAATAGGTCCAAGGGTTTTCTCTAACATGGTCTGAACCATAAGTACAATGCATAAACTGTTTCTGTAGATAAATATTAGATAATGTCCTGAAATGCTATTTAACCAAGTAATTAATTTAAAATATAACCCAAATGATGAAATAACTTAAGTGGCTGGCAGGTATCAGTATGGACCAGAGAGGGTTCTTGGGTTGGGGGGAGGGGAACGTTCTCTCAGGTGACATTAGCTAAGAGAGCTCCTTTCCTGGCTTCAGTGCCTCATTTACAGTTCCAGTCGCTACATAATTAGATCTTCTGCTCCAGTTCATGGGAGACCCCTCTTGGGACCATATGACTACATTAAAACAGGTAGGGGGTCCTGAGCTGGAACTGAATAAATTATCTTTCCTGTAACACTGTTAAATATAGCAGTCTATAGTATTATCTACCTAGTTTGTGACATTTTTTTGGCAATTATGTATTTGTGAGTTGTTGGTTAAAACTTGACTTGCAGATTTGAAGACTTTACCTGTGAGATGTTTCAAATCCTAAATAAATGACTTACAAAGTTGTGCCACTCATTTGTAAGTTAAGGAACTGTAATACTGCCATCATAATTCAATAATTCATTATAATTATACATCTAATTTATTATATAAATGAATGTCAATCTGTTCTTTGGAAAATTGAACTTTCTATGTTAGTTAAATGAAAAGCAGTTGAAGAATACAATTACTGGGTATAATTAGACAATGTATCAAAATACATCATTAGTATTCACCTGGTGTTCACCTACTATTATAATATAAATGTATAATAATCATAATATGTTTAACATTAACTTTAAGAAATTTATCATTATTTTTTGAAATTCTTTAATATTTACATAATCTTAATTTTTAGCTACCTAAAACCCTTATTCAGCAACTGACATTTGCCTTTGACCAGAACAGAAACTCATTCACAATATTATCAATACACATTTTCTTAAAAGTCCAATAAGTTGCTTGTGAATTTTTCAAAAATCATGTTGCATCCAAAGATCTGCTTTGCCCAGTTAACACATGATTTTAGTTCTCCCTTTTGCAGTAATCTTTAACAATGTACTGTGAACAATGTGTACATGTATGTGTGTGTGTATATATATATATATATATATATATATAAATTGTAGTACCATGGCAAACACATAAAAAGATTATAGAGGGCTGGGAAGGTGGCTCAGTGGTAGAGTGCTTGCCTTGCAAGCATGAGGCCCTGGGTTCGATTCCTCAGCATCACATAAGCAGAAAAAAAAGTCGGAAGTGGCACTGTGGCTCAAGTGGTAGAGCGCTAGCCTTGAGCTGAAGAGCTGAGGAACAGCGCCCAGGCCCAGAGTTCAGGCCCCACGACCAGACCAAAAAAAAAAAAAAAAAAGATTATAGAAAACTGTAAATATTGTCATTCTAAAATGTAAAGACTGACAACACATTCCTGACTGGGAAGGCCTCTTTGTATATGCTCCAAAACCAAACACTGGTACAGCTGCATAGCATCAATTATATTTGTTGATGCTGAAGTATTTATGGTCAATTTAGCATCCAAAATGATTTAAAACATGGCTGTAAGTCATTGTACTTTTAGTACAAAACTCTCATCTCAAGACTGAAGTTTCAGGCAGTTTTTATCTGTGGTAGAAATTAGTATCATAGTTGATAGGACAATTTTTTTGTTGTTGTTGTTGTTCTGGTCCTGGGTTTGAACTCAGGGTCTAGCTGCTGTCTCCTAACTTTTTTTCTCAAGACTATCACTCTACCACATTTAGCTACAGTTCTACTTCTGACTTTTTTGGTTAACAGAAGATAAGAGAAGAGTCTCACAGGCTTTCCTACCTAGACCAGCTTTGAAACATGATTCTCAGATATCACCCTCTTGAGTAGCTAGGATTACAGGTGTGAGCCATTGGTGCCTGGCAGGACAAGCCTATTTTTTAAAAGCCAAAGAAGTACTGGGCACCAGTTGCTCACATCTGTAATCCTAGATACTCAGGAGGCTGACAGCCGAAGATCAAGATTCAATGCCAGGGGCTGGGAAGGTGGCTCAGTGGTAGAGTGCTTGCCTTGCATGCCTGAGGCCCTGGGTTCAATTCCTTAGCACCACATAAGCAAAAAGAAAAAAGCCGGAAGTGGTGCTGTGGCTCAAGTGGTAGAGCGCTAGCCTTGAGCTGAAGAGCTGAGGGACAGCGCCCAGGCCCAGAGTTCAGGCCCCACGACCAGACCTCCCCCCCTCAAAAAAAGATTCAATGCCAGTCCAGGCAGGAGACTCTTATTTTCAGTTAACCACCAAAAAGCCAAAAGTGAAGCTTGGCTAGCCTTGAGGGGAAAAGTAAAAGGACAGTACCTAGGTCCTGAGATTAAGCTCCTGTACCAACATGCATGCATGAACACACACACACACACACACACACACACACACAGCCAAAGAAAACAGATAGAACAGCACTACACTAACATAATTTAAAACAAAGCATTCTTAATCACCAAGCCTCACCCCACTTTCTCTTTGCAACTTCTCCTGTAAGGAACACTGAGGTCTTACCTAGAACGTCAAGATTAAGGGTCCGTGCTAGTTTCCTGGCACCATCAGTACCAAAAATAGGAGTTTTGTATTTACATTTTGGACACTGGAAAACACTCATATTTTGTATAAGGCCAAGAACCTGGAATAAAAAAGAAAAAACATTGAAATTAAAAAAAAAAGAAAACCTACAACAGAATTTTTTTGTTCTTGTTGTTGATTGTGAAGCTTGAACTCTGGGCCTGAGTGCTGTCCCTCAGTTCTTCAGCTCAAGGTAGTACTCTACCATTTGCGCCAGGGTGCCACTTCCAGTTTTCTGGCACTTTATTGGAGATTAGGAGTCTCATGGACTTTCTGCCTGGGCTGGCTTTGAACATCATCCTCAGATCTCAGCCTCCTTAGTAGTTAGCACTATAGGTGTGAGCCACTGGCACCCAGCAACAACAGAATCTTAATATATCATTTCAACAAGTTTTTACTTGTATATTACATGGCAATATACAAGTTTTTACATTGTATATTACATGGCAATATACAATGGCGAGTAAGGAAAGTCTTTGTTCTCAAGACACTCACAGATAGAGATCAAGACAAAGGTAACTAACTTTAAGAAATAATAATATTTAAAAGTGGTAAATGTTTAAAAGAAATGATTAAACCGGAACAAAAAAAATCTCTGCCTGGGTAGAATGAGAGGAATCTTTGAATTAACCATGGATAATTGTTCCTTCCAGTTGTGAGAAGGCAGCCTGAAGAAGGGGTGAGGCCTGTGGCAGGACTCAGGCAGAAGCAAGGGTACAGCCAAATCATCAAAACTTTAACTATTTGTACCTATTTGAAGTACAACCCAGTGATAGTCAATGCAGAAACCAATTAAGCAAAGAAGGTTAGGGTCAGATGGTATTAAGGCTTAAGTATGAAATGTTTCCCATAGATTCATGTGTTGAACACTTGGTCCTGTTGTTATTTTGGGAGGCAGTGAATTTTTTTTTTTTGGGGGGGGGGGTCCTTTCCTGGGGCCTGAACTCTGGGCCTTGGTGCTGTCCCTCAGCTCTTCAGCTCAAGGCAAGCACTCTACCACTTGAGCTACAGCGCCACTTTCGTTTTTTTTTCTTTTTGTTTATGTGGTGCAGAGCCTTAGGCATGCAAGGCAAGCGCTCTACCTCTGAGTCACCTTCCCAACCCCGAGGCAGTAAAATTTTTGGGAAGTAGGGCCTAGCTGGAGGAAGCAGTTCACTTGGGAGAGTGGTCCTTGGGCTATATCTTGTCTTGGCTACTTCTTGTATCTCTTCTCTCTGCTTTCTGTCTGCCAAGAGGTAAATAGTTTCTTCCTCTTCAAACTCACCACCATGATGTTCTGTTCAACTACATGGCGTCAAGCAACCACAGATTTAATTGTCAAACTGTGAGCCAAAACAAAGTTGATTTATTAGGTTTTCTGGTCATGTTGATGAGAAAAGCAACTAATATAGAGGATAAGGTATAAAATACCATTCATGAATATGTTGCTTTTTTGTGCAAACAGAAAATCATGGAGATTTTTCAAGTTGAAAAGATGGTACTGAAAAATAGTACTAGAAAATTAGATGTGCATTACAGAAATTTTGTTCTGAAGATAATATAGAGAACAAGAGAAGAGAGAAAATACTAAAGAGATTACGATGGGCAATATCTCATGGCAAATAACAGGTAACCTATACTTGGCCCTTATTACACATCATTTATTAAAAAATGATTTCAAGGTGTTTATTCATTCCTTATAAGAATAGAGGTTTTCTTTTCAAAGGAAGTAAGAATGGCCAATAGATACATGAAGAGGTGTTCAACATCTCTCCCCATAAAAGAAATGCAAGTCAAATTGAGATTTCACCTCACCCCAGTTAGAATGGACTTTATCAAGAAAACTAACAATAACAGATGTTGGCAGGGATGTGGCCAAAAGAGAATGCTATATACTGTTGGTGGGAATGTAAACTTGTTCAACCACTCTGGAAAGCAGTATGGAGGTTCCTCAAAAAAGGAAACATAGAGCTTTCCTAATATCAGTAATTCCACTTCTGAGCATTTACCCAATTGACCACAAACCAGGCCACACCAAAGCTACCAGCATAACCATGTTTATTGCAGTATTGTTTACCATAGCCAATATATGGAATCAACCCAGATGCTCCTCAGCAGATGAATGGATCAGCAGAGGAATGGTATATATACACAATGAAATTCTGTGCTTCCATCAGAAAGAATAATATCATACCATTCATAAGGAAATGGAAAGAATTAGAAAAATTATATTAACTAAAGCAACTTAGACCAAAAGAAAGGTAGCATGGTTTCCCTCATTTGTTGTAAATAGAAAGTGCCTATAACTCTACAAGTAAACACACTGGATGGTAAAGGACAAAAAATACAGTTGGATATGATAAATGATATAAGACACTAGACATTCACACAGTAAGACCTAAGGAGGATATTCTTAGGAGAGTATCACAGGGTTCAATAGCTATGTACATATGATCATATAAAATGAGTTATGTAAAAAATGAACTCCAAGCAATGGAAAAACGAGGCTCTGTTATTTTTGTTTCTTGTCCGTTCCCCCTCCCCATCACTGTTTTTGCTTTCTGTGCCTTTTGTGTTGTATGTAAGTTAATCTAATTTGGGGAAGTAAGGGGCAGCACAGACATGGTGGGACAAAGAGTGAGTAAACGAAGCAATAATGCTCACTAGACAACATGTTAAAAATAAATGATACAATTTGTGGGGAAGGGTAGTCAGGAGGGAAAACCTGGGAGAAAATAAGGGAAGAGGAACACTGTTGAAAAAGAAATGCACTCAGACCTGATTTATGTAACTATAGCCCCTCTGTAAGTCACCTTTACAATAACAATAAAAAAAGAGGTTTGTTTGTTTTTTTATCATTCTCATTCTATAATTGGGGAGAAACTGACAGTGGTAGCAAAAGACTGATATTTAGCTCTTATTATAATAAGAGCCAACTGTTATTGATCAAAACAAAATATTAACATTTCATAGGAAATCCCTACATCTTTCTGAATTTACCTAGTTTCTGGGACAAAAATAGATCCTTAATAAACATTATTATTCGATAGTACTGATGAATAAATACATAGGCTCTACAAATGTGATTTGTATTCATGCTCCTTTCAACCTCACTGTCTTACTGATAAAAAATAAGGTGCTCCTAAAATAAAAATGCAGTCAGCACCACCGTCAGAAACTCAGAGAAAGCAATGTTTGCATCATCCCATCATTTTCTCCATACCACTGTCATTGAAGGAGTTACTAGAACATTTGCATTTTGAATGAAGAACAACACTGAAAGTCCACAAGGAAACACACAGACAAGAAAGTGATAAGATTTGTTATTTTTTTTTTCTGAAAGGAGCAACAGAAAAGACAAACTATAAAGGGCATGAGTTTGTAGGAAAGCATTTCCGCAGATCTAAAATGTACTTTTTTCTGATGTGAAGTATCAGGAAAAATATATCACACTGCTTTTTTAATTTAGAGCTATCTCCAGAAAGCTAGAGGCTTATTTGCTTATTCACTATGACTATATACCCATTGCTTAAACGGTTCTATTGTCACTTATATTAAATGTTAAATTTACTCTTTGTAGGGCTTCAATTTAAAACATATCATTCTATAAATGAAAACAGAAAAAATACAGAACATAAAAGTCTAGGTGAAGGTGTACTTTAGAGAGAACAGGAAAAGCACATGTACCTTGAAATCTCTTAGATTCTCCAAGACATAGAAACATGGTTCAAGAGTGTTTTTGCAGTCTGACTGATTTATTTCTCATCAGATTGTTCTCTATAGACTATATAAATGTCTCAGGCATATTCTCTACAGATTACTTAAATATCAGAGACATTAAATATGACACTATAACCAAATACCATTAATGTATCATTATATACTAGTGACTAGGCTGAATAGAGTGAGGAGAACACACAGTGGTGAACAAGAGATTTGATATTTGCCCCATTTAGGGCTTGTGCTCTACCTGGAGAAAGGGGCTGAATAACAACAACAACCAAAAGCACTTCTATGGATGCAAAATGCAAGCAATATGACAGGGCAGAACAGACAGGGTTTAATATGCTCTAGAATTTCTTTTTGTTTGTTTTTGATGGCAACAGGGTTTGAAGTCAGGGCTTTGTGTTTGCTTAGCTAGTGCTCAACTACTTAAGCCAGGCTTCCAGTCTTGCTTTTTGTTGTTTGGGGAGGTATTGAATCTCACAGAGTTTTTCTGTCTGGTCTGGGTTTGTACTGTGATCCTCTATGTTTCAGCCTCCTGAGTAGCTAGGATAACAAACATGAGTCACTGGAGTCTTGCTTACTCTAGAGTTTAAGGATACATGTACTCCCTATTTCAAGGGAGAAATAGGGAGTACACGTATCCTTTTAAGAATTTAGAAAGCCAATCTGATACTTGTGAGATGTGGTGTGAGTAGCACGAGGTAAGTCTGAACAGATGGGAATGTAGGTGATATTCAAGTGTCCGGTTTTATATAAGTGCAAAGAGATACCACTAAAGGAGTTTGAATCGGAGAGGCCACTATAGCTATGGTTATAGCAAACTCATTAGTTAGGATTCAATTCAGAGTTTTAAAAAACAATGTAAAATAATGGAAAAAATAAAAAGGATTTGTTTTTGTATATTAACTTTCTTAGACAAACATAAATTCAGGGCTATGTTATCCAAAAATCAATCATGGAAGATGTTTTATTTTTTTAACATAAATAATTCATTTTACAAAAATGAATTGAGCTACACACTTGTAATATGTGCTATTAGGTTGGTACGTCATAGTCCAATAAAAAGCTAACATGCTCGAGGCATGGCTCAGCACAAGAGTGCCTGTCTACCAAGTGCAAGGCCTTAAGTTCAAACAGTAGTACAGCAAAAAAAAATTTTTTTTCTTAAGGAACTCTGAAAGGTTTTGAGGAAAAACCATGGGAGAAAATCTCAAAGAGAAACGTTTAAGTACTAAAACTCACTGTTCTTACTCATTTAACAGTAGTTCTCTAAATCACAGAGATCCTAAATGAAGGCAACTAATGTAAAGAAGAGCATAAAAAATGTCCATATTCTAATTTTGGTCATAAAAATTC